CCAGTACACTACCCTCTTGGAAAAGTAAAATTATTTCATTGTTTTACAGTCCCACTTCCCAGGTCCACTCCACTATGCAGCCTGCGCTCTGGACTTCTGTCATGACAAAAATACCTAATCACATATCCCTTTCAAACAGTTTTTTCCCTCATCTGTTTCAGTGCAGTATACATTATTGAATCCATCTTTCTCAGTCTCCTCCCAACCCCGATGTCAGTCCTGTATGACAACAGTGGCACCATGCAATATTTGTTCTTTTGTGACTAAGACACTTCACTCAGCATAATGTCCTCCAGGGTCATCCATTTTGAATAAAATTGCATGAGTTCCTTGTTTTTCAATGCAGCATAGTATTCCATTGTGTGAATATACCACAGCTTCTTTATCTATTCGTTTGTTGATGGGCACTTAGGTTGTTTCCAATTCCTTGCTATTGTGAACAAAGCCGTGATAAACATGGCTGTGCATATATCTGCTTGAGTGGCAGTTATGGTCTCTTTGGGGTATATTCCCAGTAGTAGAATTGCTGGGTCAAATGGTATCTCTATTTGCAACTTTTTGAGAATGCGCCAGTGGTTGCACCATTTTACACTGCCACCAACAATGAATAAGGGTTCTAGCTTCTCCACAACCTTGCCAGCATTTGTTGCTTGCTGTTCTGTTAAATTTTGCTATTCTGATTGGGGTGAGATGGTATCTCATAGATGTTTTGACTTGCATCTCTCTTAGAGCTAGGGATTTTGAACTTTTTTTCATGTGCTTGTTAGCCATCCGAATGTCTTCTTTGGTGAAATGTCTGTTCATATCCTGTGCCCATTTTTCAATTAGATTATTTACCTTTATCTTGTTGTGGTGTAATACAGGACATTTTTAACATTCATCTCTATTTTGTCAAAACTCAGATTTAGAAATAGTCCTATTATATAAAGGAGCTGCCATGTTCCATCATAGTGCAACAGTGAAAAGACTATGTAATACTTATTTTAGTAATAAATAACTTGGTAAAACAAAAGGATTAATTAAGGTTTTAAAATGAATAATGCAAATTCTGTATGTTAGTTAAGTAGTCATTCTACCACATCAGAAGTTTCAAGGTAAAAATCAGTAAGGAAGAGAGCTTAAAAATGGGGAAAGTGTAATGAAAAGCTCTGTAAGTGGAGTGGTGCTGCTACCTCCAAGGTACACAGTTCAATTTCATCAGCTGCTCCGAGGAAGAAAGACAGGTTGTCTATTCCCACGAGATTTACAGTTCCTGAAAACCTACTGGACCATCAGCTATGAGTTGTTTCCAATTTAAAGGTAATGAGTGAGTGATATAAAAAAATTACTGAGAAGGGGGCAAACCACTCATAGTAGACTCTTAAAACCAACTGTTGATCTATGACTTATAACATAATAGCATTTTCCTATATGCATGAGAATAAATCATTCAATCTCCAATCTCATTTTCATTCAATTTCCAATCTCATTTCTGCCACCAAGTCCATAATTTCCAAATAGATCTATACCTAGAAGAAATTGTGTGCAAGGGAACAATGCATGGTTTAAAATCACGAATGGTATATGTCAGGGCTATATCATTTCTTTATACCTAATCAATCTACACGAGAGGAAAATCATTCAAGAAGCTGAACTTTATGAAGAAGAACGTGGCATTAGGATCGGAGGAAGACTCGTCAAAAATAACTGTGTTATATAGATGACCCATCTTTCTCCCCGCATAGCTGGTGGATTCCCATTGCTGGCCTTTCTTATACAGCAGCCCAAAAAGTTACACACTTCGCAAATACAGCTCCTACCATTCAAATCACTCACTCAACGCCATCAAGTTGATTCTGACTCACAGAGACCCGCCAGTGAGTTTCTGAAGCTTTAAATTTTAACAATGGAAGATGGCTCATCTCTCTCGTATGAAGCTAATGATGGACTTGAATCAGCAGAGATGCATGGCTATTTGGTTAGCAGCACAACTTGCTATAAGGAGTCCAACAAAGTCCTCTATAACACTCAGAGTAGTCCTGATCCTGAAATAACACCTCTCAAGGAAAGAACTAGTCTTAAGAAAACATTTTTTTTAAATAAATGGGCTCATTCCAAATTTAGGGCAGAAAATGGACAAAGCAGGGAATATTTCAAAAGAACAATCAAGGATATTGAGGTGCTGTCAAGACAATCCAAGCTGTAATTGAGCTTCACCAAAATTACAGGATATATTTAAAGTTATAATGAAGAAATGAAAAAGGAAACCACTAGGAAAGCATTATCTGCAATACAGATCTTGCACAGGACTGTTATCTAGACTACTTAAGCTGTCAAGAGACAGCCTGAGATGCATAGTATGATATAAAAGACTTTTTTGGAAAAGGAAAAGAATACCTTAGGGTCCAGAATATAGTTCACCCTACCCTTTCTTGTGCCATCCTGATCATGAAAATCAAAACCATCTGACATACAATGCCACACTCATTAGGCGTTAACCGAAAATAACAGCAAACAATAAGTGCTGCCAAGCGTGTGAAAAAACTGACATTTTCATATACTACGAGTGAGAAAGCATGATGGCAGAATCTCTAGGGAGAATACTCCAGCAATTCCTCAAGATGTCTCCACAGTTCTATTCCTAGGTATATATTCAAAAGGAAAAACATAAAACTACACACAGAAAAATCTTGAAGATGATCATTCATGGCTATATTATGTATAAAAGTCAAAGTGGAAATAACTTTTATCAAAAGATTAATAAAATATGGTATTAGTTAGAAAACACATTATTTGACAGTAAAAAGGCAATAAAAAGTACTGATAAATGCTCTAAGTCTTTCATGAACCTTGAAAACAATTCGTAAAGTTAAGAAAGTTAACAAAGATCACATACTCTCTGAGGCCATTTATATGAAATGTTCTATATAAATCTAGAGATAGGAAACACTTAGCGTGGCACAGGGCAGGGTGTCAGTTGAGAAATAAAGATGATTACTTAAAGTGTCCTAAATCTGTCGACAGCCAACCAACTCTCTGAATATCAAAAAGCACTAAACTCTCCTTTCCAGTCCTGGCTCCGGACACAGCCACCGTCTCAATGTTGTTGTGCAAGAAGAATCGGATTGCCATATATAAAGTCCTTTTTAAGGAGGGGGTGATGGTAGCCAAGAAGGATGTCCACATGCCAAAGCACCCTGAACTGGCAGACAAAAACATGCCCAACCTTCATGTCATGAAGGCCATGCAGAGTCTGAAGTCACGAGGTTATGTGAAGGAACAGCTCACCTGGAGACATTTCTACTGGCACCTTACCAACGACAGTGTCAGTATCTACATGATTACCTCCATCTGCCCTGAGATGGTTCCTGCCACCTTGCACCACAGCCATCCTGAGACTGTCAGGCCACGACCTAAAGGTCTGGAAGGTGAACGATCTGCAAGATTGACTCTAGGGGAGGCTGACAGAGACACACACTGACAAGAGCGCAGTGCCTCCTGGTGCCGACAAGAAAGCTGGGGTGGGGTCAGCAACTGAATTCCAGTTTAGAGGCAGATTTGGTCGTGGATGTGGTCAGCCACCTCAATAAAGTTGGAGGGAACTGTTTTTTGTGTTGCATAAACATGAAGCCTGGGGGGGGGGCACACTAAAACTCTACACTTTGAGTAAGATATGCAGTATGTAAATTATTTCCCAATAAATCTGACGTATACACTCCTACTTGAGAACAAATTTCTTAAAGAAGTCTGTGCTAGGAAAGATAGCCATTCCTGACAAATCTATGTTATCTTCTATTCCATAAACAATACCATAAAATATAGTTCTTTTTTAATTTGTAATTAAGATTCACAGCCAAATTTTGTATTCTAATTTCTTTTACCTAAATTTCCTACTTTAATTTCTTTCACGACTGTACCTTGCTTCATTGTTTTAGCCTCTTAAGTGTTTGTTTGTAAGCTAACTACAGGAATGTATTTATAGAAGCAGATAGGATATGATGCTTGGGTAAATTTTGAAAACTTAGGAATACATTTAGTTCTCATGATTGCCACCAAGCTAAAAAACTTTTATCCATTTCAGTCTGCATTCTGCCTACCCGGTCCACTTTATCGTAACTATCCCTAAGGTTAAAAGCATTTAGAGTAACTGTGAGTTTTGATAGAAGACTTCTTCCCCTTCATTTCATGAACTGAACATATATTTTAATAACATACTGCATATATGCCATATACTCAACGTAGAAAATATTTTTAAAATGCAACATTAAGTCGTAAAGCACTATTGAAAGGTAACTTGAGAAAAATGTATTCCCACCCTAACAGGTGAGGATGACTCCTCCGCATTTCGCTTCTGGGACTCTGTGTCCACATCTTGGCGCTTGTTCTTCATTCTTTCTCTAAGATCCCCTGTGGGTCTTTCCGGTGACCTTTAAACCAAAAAATAAAAGCAAAACAAAAAGCTATGTTCAAATAACATTTTACAGGAAAGAGTGAAAGAGACAACCTTATAAATCTCAATACATTCCTCAATTTAAGCAATGCTTATAAATTCTGAATGAGCTACCATATTAATAGCAATTTCACTCCTAGGCAAATTCCCTCCAAAAAATTAGTAAATCTTATGAAAATAAAAAAATCATGGTGACTTGTTGTAGTTATGTGCCACCACATTGCCTGTGACTCAAAGCAACCCTATCGACAGCTCTGAATCCTGCCCTCTCCAGAGACAACTTCATGGTTTCTAATAGACCTGATACCATCTGAGAGTCACTCAATCAATCCATCTCATCCTGAGTCTTCATCTCCTGTGCTGTACCTTCACCCTTCCAAGCCTGATATTCTTCTCCACATGAAGACGTAAAAGGTATTAAAATAACCACAATAAAGGAAATTAGAAGTCATACAATGAACCCAGTAAAGAAAAGAAAATGAAACAAAGACCAGCAATGTTACTAAAAAGAACAAAATAAAATGATATGCCTGCTGTTTTTATTGCCAATTGCTCGATACATTGTTTTTCCACCCTCTGACTTGTCTCTGTCCTGTGTCTTAAGCTGTGTCTCTTGCAGAATAGTATTAATGGGTTATATTTCTTATCCATTCCACTCTTTTTCCTTTGACTGCTCAACTTAACCAGTTCATATTCAGCATAATTATTATTAAATATGGTCTTATTGCTGTCATTTCAATGTACAAGATTTTCTTTTATATTTCATGAGAAGATTTACTAACTTTTTTACAGGATACCTTATAAGTCTTTTATTCTAGGTGGGACGTTTCATGAGACATTATAGTTAACATGGTTTCTACTCTTTCTGTTCTACCTCTTTGTAGATTACATAATTCCTGGTGTGGCAAAAGTTCACCAACAGGTCTCCATTCTTTTTGAGTAACAGAAGGAATGTCAGAAACAGGAGAAGGATATGGAATGTATTGGTAACAGCCTCCATAAACAACTGTCTCTTCTGCTGGCTGAGATAGAACTGAATGGTGACCAGCTATCATTAATGAGTGTTATGATCAAAGATACTATAAAAACACACAAACAAAAAAACCAAAAAAGCAAACCTCTGTCTGCTCTAAAGAGGTATGTCCAAAAGAATTTTAAATTCTCTAGCAGGATTTAGAGCTGTTGTGCATAGGGTCGCTATGAGTCGGAAACGACTCGACGGCACATAACAACAACAACAATATTAGACCAGGAAGTCATAAAGGTAAAATTAACTCCCAAAATTACTGTCTTGAGATAATACTTAAATCTTAAAGCAAAAACACTCTGAAGTCTTTTTAAAAAATACTTTAACTTAGCTTGCTTTAATATAGTTTAGCTTAACTTGCAAAAATTATCTGCCTTGAGGACTGTGCTCTTTCAAGATCTGCATGGGGTCAAACTGACAATATCAACTTGTAAAATTAGATAGGTACTTTCTTAAGGAGCAATAAATTCATGTTAATGGCGGTGAAACAACTCAGAAAAAGAGGATAAATATGGTTGTATAACTCAATGTAATCAATGGCACTAAACGGTACATGTGAAAACCTAATGTTATGCTACATAGACTCACCAACAGCACAAAAATAAGTAAAATGAACCTAGAACACTTCTGAAACAGAAGAGAAATTAAGACACTTTGTGTCCCTTTGACTAGCAAACAACAAAATGCCCTATATGTGTTTCTAGAAAAGAAATCACATATTTTGTCAAGCAATTACTGATTAATCAATTCATTCTACTAAACAATAATATTATTAATCATGGTTAATAAATTTTAATTAATTCACTGTAAAATGCTCTCACATGTGCACATACATTTTACAGATCTACAGTAAATGTTTTAATAATGAAAACTAAAATGAAACTAGTATTTAACTTCTGAAGAACTAGTATTCATCATACTTAAAATGTACATGAAAATTCTATGGTTTTCATACATAATAATAAAAGTTTATTATGAATTTGTTTCTACATTTAAAAGTACCTAAGAGTGCTCTACAGTGAATGCTCAAATAATTTCAATGTCATGTGAATAAAGCATTTCTGAAACACACTGCTTTTCTTTGCATCTTCAAATGACATCTACTTTATGCAGATGACACAACCCTGCTTGCTGAAACTGAGGAGGACCTGAAGCGCTTGCTGCAGAGGGTCAAGGACTGCAGCCTTCAATATGGATTGAAGCTCAATGTCAAGAAGACAAAGATTCTCACCACTGGACCAATTGGCATTAACAGGATGGATGGTAAAGAGATTGAGATTGTTCACAGCTTTGGTCTGCTTGGCTCCACAGTCAACACTCTTGGCACCAGCAGCCAGGAAATTAAGATGTATTGTGATGGGAAAATCTGCTGTTAGGGACCTCTCCAAAGCACTGAAGAGCAATGGTATCGCTCTGGAGACTAAGGTGTGTCTGATAATGGCCATGGTCTTTGAAATCACTTGTTATGTGTCAGAGAGTTGGACAAGGAGGATAGAAGGAGAATTGATGCCTTTGAGCTGTGGTACTGGAGAAGAATATTGAGGGTACCATGCATGGACAGCTAAGAAAACAAACAGATTCATCCAGGAGAGGGTTAAACCAGGCTGCTCCTTGGAGGCAAGGATTCTGAGGCTTCGTCTGACATGCTTTGGTCATGCTGTAAGGAGAGACCGGTCCTTAGAGAGGGACAGCATGCTTCGGAGGGTGGAGGGCAGGCGCAGGAGAGGAAGGCCCTCTATGAGGTGGACTGATTCAGTGACTGGGGTACTCGGGATGGGTATGTCTGAGACAGTGAGATTGGCACAGGACAGAGCAGAGTTTTGGGCTATTGTACATAGGGTCGCTATGAGTCGCAAGTGACTTGACAGCACATAACAACAACAACAACATCCAAAATTCATATTTAAAAGACAAAACGGGAAAAACATACATGAAATAGTAAAATTACAAGAAAGAATTTTTTTCCCCAGTCAATATATTATTATTTTTTTTTAAATTATTTTTTGTGTGTACCATCAAATCAGATCTGACTGGTACAGGAGGAGTGTGCCCCTCCTTCCAGCACAGCATTTGGTGGATCTGAACCATGGACCTCTGGGATTGCAGTGCAGCTTCTTGCCACTAGGCCACCAGAGCTCCCAATACATTACTTTTTAACTGTGATAAATATCTCTGTCCATTACCCTCAAGAATATGTTTTATAGAAATGATGTTGTCCTGGAGACTAAAGTGCACTTGATTAAGGCCATGGTCTTCACAATTTCTTGCTATGCACCAGAGAGCTGAAAAATGCTACCAGAAGAACAACTGATACCTTTGAGATGTGCTGGAGAAAAGTGCTGAACATACCATATACTGCCAAAAAATAAACAGGAGAGGGTGAAAACAGTCTGCTCCATGGAGGCAAGAATTTTGAAGCTCCATCTGACATACTCTGGGCACATGGCCAGGAGTGACTGGTCCCTGGAGAGGGACATTACGCTTGGCATGGTGAAGGGACAGTGCAGAAGAGGAAGACCCTGGATGCGATGGATTGACACAATAACTGGAGTAATGGGAGTAGGTTTATCAGAGACAATGAGATTGGCTCAGATCGGGTATGGTTTAGAGCTATTGTTTATAGGGTCACTGTGAATCACAGGGAACTCAATGGCACACAACGACGACAGTAATAAATGTCAAAGACGTAATGGTATTAATAGGGAAGTCTGGTGGTCTAGAGGCAAGAAGCTGCACTGTAATCCCAAAGGCACACAGTTTGAGGCTATCATTTGTTCTGAGGGAGAAGGATAAGCATCTCCTCACGTGCAATTAACTGCCTCTGAAAACCCGCTGGAGGGTCAGCTATGGGTTGGTTCCAACTCTTCAGTACTCAACAATGGTATTAATATAAATATTAATTAATATAAATATTAATGGTATTAATGTAAACATGGTATTGATAATAAATATTAAACTTTTTAAATCATTTTTACCTTGTGTGTACACACCAAGCTCTCAAAAACAGTGTTAGGTAAAAGGAACTCCTAACTAATTTTATAACATTAAAGAAGCAACAAAAGATCACCTAGAAATAAACAAACAATATTTAACATTACAAGTAAACTTAACATGTTGCCACAAAGGAGGGTAATACATCCAAAAAAAATGTGTTTCTAAGCACGAAAGTGTGCGGCACGTGTTAAAATAGATAATGTTTATTAAGTTAACAGAAAGTGACAGTTTTCCTTCACCCAATGTAAGGGTATGGATGTTTAATTAAGGAAGGCAGAGAGGATTATCTAATGGAAGTCAAGGCGCAAACAAAGAAAAATCTCCAAATAACAGTATTCCATTTTCATACTGCTTCTGTAGTCAAAGCTATAAGCTTACAAATCTTTATAAAAAAGGTCAAGTATTGTACAGTAGTAAGCTTAAATTACTCCTGTGGCAATTTTTAAACAGTATACTAAATAATTGTGAACGAACTAGAAATAAGGCCCTTATTTGGCAAATTTAATAAAGCCCAAACTTTATTCAAAACAAAATGATCCTTAAATAGTATACTTATCTACATAAGAATATATATATCCTGATAAGGTATTTTGAGAATTGCATTTTATCTTACAGATCTTGCATTTAAATGTTCCCTGTCAAGAAGTGAATTTAGAACAAAAGGCAAAACTAAAATTATATCCTATTTACAAGTTAATATATTAAAATGTCAAGCGTCTCTTCTCACCAAAATTAAAGTCAGATATTAAGATGCTACAGGAATGTGGCATCATGATTAGAGACAGACTCATTAACAACCTGTGCTAGTTTTGCTTGTCCAAACTAAGGTTTGCTAGGTTTGCTTGTCCAAACTAAGGTTTGCTAGGTTTGCTTGTCCAAACTAAGAAGGATCTGAAGTGTTTGCTGAAGAAAGTCAAGGACTGCAATCTCCAATATGGATTGAAGCTCAACATCAAGAAAACAAAGAGTCTCACCACTGGGCCAACTGGCAGCAGGACAGATGGTGAAGAGACAGTGATTTTTAACAATTTCAGCTTGCTCGGTTCCACAATCAACATTCTTGGCACCACCAGTCAGGAAATCAAAAGAAGAATTACATTAAGAAAATCTGCTGTCAGGGACCTCTCCAAAGTACTGAGAGCAATGATGTCAGCCTTGAGACTGAGGCATCCCTGATCCAGGCCATGGCCTTCGCAATTGCTTGCTATGCATCAGAGAGCTGGATAACGATTAAGGATGATAGAAGAACTGATGCCTTTGAGTTGTGGGGCTAGTGAAGAGTACTGAAGATACCATGGACCGCCAAGAGAACAAATAGGATTCTGAAGCTCCATTTCATATACTTCAGGCATGTTGTCAGGAGGGTCCAGTCCTTGGAGAAGGATATCATGCTTGTATGGGTGGATGGACAGTGCAAGAGAGGAAGACCCTAGATGAGATGGCTTGACACAGGTGACTGGGATAACAGAAACTGGTGTGTTGGAGATGGTGAGATTGGCTCAGGATAGGACAGGGTCACAGGCAACTCGATGGCATACAACAACATCAAGACACCATGGAATTCTGCTATCTTAAACAGCAATTTTTACATTATCATACAACGAAAAAGTAAGCCATATACTTATTTTATAAAATTTAAAATCAGTAAGTAAAAGGATCCGGTCAATCTTAGAGTATTGATAAAATTATCATCAAAGCACAAAATCAGATCAAGTATCTAGCTATATTTAAACTTCCTATGTTAGCTATACTAAATACAAGTGATTTTTTTTTAAATACCATGCAAAGAACAATTCAGAATTGTCAATTTACCTTCTATAACTGCTGCTATAGCCTTTACCACGAGGTGAAGGGCCATGTACGAATCTGCATGTGTTTCCATAAAGGCAATTGCCAGTCTTCAGCCAATTACGACACTGTGTCTAAGAGACCAATATTATCATGTAAATGTCATATTTATTTCAGGGGTAGGAGAATATAAAGAAGAGAAATTTAAAATAAATACTATCAAATGTCCAGCTAACTGCAATATTACTAATAATGAGGGCATTAGAAGAAAATATGAAAACTCTATATAAGCTTTCACTTTTTATGAAACATATCTTTTTACATTTTTTGACCAATAACTTTACAATAAAGCTACTTTGATGATATAAATCAGTATTTCAACGAGCTAAGAGAATTCCTTTACATGAATTAGTGAGAACTCACCTCTGTTGTACTGCCAGTGCTAGGTCCAAGCCTTTCAAATACACTGGGTCTTCGAGATGTGCCATCAGATATGGTCTTGGTATTTTCCACTGTGACTTTCCTTCTGATTTTTGACATTTTGAACTATTTTAACTAAGAGAAACAGAGAAGCAGAACTGTGAAATTCCTCAGTTTTTAATATATGAGTATAACTTATAAGCACATAGTATTATCATCTTATGAAATCAGAGTATTTTCCTTAAGAGAAAAAGACATAGGAAAAGTCTTATGTAAACAAAACGTATTTAATCAATTTGTAAACAAAACGTATTTAATCAATTTAGAACAACTTTTAAATCTATAAGCTAAAATTGTTATCTCTTAAGTAGAATAAGCAAGATCTACTCGCACAGTGAAATTTTCATAGTACATTTAAACTTCTGAAAACAAACCACACATGTACTTTAGATATCATTTATGAAGTAATTGTGAAATGTGTTAACTTTAGTCTTAGAGAGCCATAGTGATACAGTGATTAAAGCACTCCTCTATGAATTAAAAAGACTTGCTATTAACTCACAATCAGCTCTGAGGAAGAAAGATGTACCGGTCTATTTCCATAAAGTTTTCAGCCTCTGAAATTCTATAAGGCAGTTCTACTCCTTCTATAGGATGGCTCTGAGTCAGAATTGACTGAAGGTCAGTGGTTATGGACTTGGTATAGCAATTTTTGTTATTCCATCTATAAATTAAAAAAGAAAAACTGAGGACATAAAACTTGACTCTGTAAAAGCCACAGCAAAATTAGAAATAAGATAATCACAATGTACTCAAAGATACACACTATTAACATTAACTGAAGGAGAAAAACAATCACTTCTTTTTAGAATAGTTAACTACCCATTAAGCTTAATGACTAAAATCTTTTCAGGAAACCATGCATCAGTTCTATCATCTTCATTCAATCTGAAGGCTCATCTTCTTGCAGCAAAACTGAAAATATAACTCAGTTGAATCTGAATGTCATTGTTCTTTGCCACTGAGTCAGAAACAACTCATAGCTGACCTTTCAGGGGGTGTTCAGAGGCAGTAAGTTGCACAGAGTAAGACTGGCCATCCTTCTCTTGCAGAGCACAAACTGTATGTATGCCTCTGGGAGAGGAGTGCACCATTTAACCACTAGGCCACCTGCTACTAATTCCTATAGAGCAACAGCACAATACTAGGAAATTATAAAATAAATGAACAAAATCATATTGTTCTTCTATGCCCTGGGATCAGAACCAATTCACAGGGGATCCACCAGCAGGGTTTCAAAAGTTATAAAATGCCCAACTCCTTACCACTAAGCCACCAGAGCTCCCTAGGTAAATATATTATTTAGTAGAATAAATTCTTATCCATTTAATTTCCAAGACTAAAATAAAAAATAAAGCTCTCTTCATTCCTGTTTCCTATTTTTAACGAAAAAAAAAAAAGTTCTTAGTTTATCTGATGTTTCGCTATGAAGAATTACTTCAAGGAATTTTCTAAAACAATCTTCAACATGATGTAAGTACATATAGAATAAACCAATCCCAAACTGATCTTACAACAGAACTGGCAGAAAGAAACTCACTACATAACCATGGGCAAGGCCCATGTATGTAGCATTCTGCAGAGCACTAACTTATAATGTGTGCACAAAGAATAGATGCTGGGAATTACCATTAAGTAAAGAGACCTGTACAAAGTTTCTAAAAAAAAAATACATTTTAAAAATCAACATTACTCAACATCTCAACTGCTGTAAAGTATCAGCTAAAATGATCCTAACTCCATGTGAGATACATAGAGTTGGGAGCAAGGATGATGGAGAAGACTGGTGAGGTCTGCTGAAAACCAGTCCTCTAAGTGCAAGCAAACAATTGTGATTTCAGTATGTAAATACCAAATATAGATACCAATTACTCAAAAATTTTACTAATTTGGTACAGAAAAAAAGCTAAAATAGAAGTCACTTGCTGGATTTTGCTATTTTGAATTTACATTACAGATAAGAGAATAAAATGCTATAATCTAAAACAATTATAATCACCTAGGACTCCAGCAAAAGGTATGTCACAAAACGGTATCCTACCACACAAATACAGCAACAATCTTAAATGAATGCTGCAAATTATTTCTGCAGATACAAACCACGTCTATTTTCTTGGTTTCTTTCTGAAACTGTCATCTATTAAAATCAGTATTTCCTTAAAAATCTATAGCTCTCTAACACTGTTTAGATATAAAAGTTGATAACATCAAGTATTACCAACTTGCTCAAGCACTGCTGCTGAGTAGGAACTTGTCCAGGACCCTCCAAGGCAGTTTTGTAGCTGAAATAAAATATCATGGAAGTAGACTGTCCCATCTTTCTTCTGCAGAGTCACTGGTGGATTTTAACTACTGAAGATGACGTCTTTGCGTAAGCAGTACAACTCCTTTCGGACTAAGCCACCAGAGCTCCCTTTTTGGCAAACTAGCCATGCCAACTGGCACCTTAGGGCAACAGTATCTTGGTCTCTGAAAACATAAGGTGTTAAAACCTATTCCTAACTTTTTAAATTGTTTAAAAATGCCTAAAACCTTAAGAGATTGCATACACTCAAGACTTTCAAAGCAGTTCAAATTATCCAGAAGCCTCTTTTTGTTGTCAAGTGTTATCAAGTTGAATATAACGCACCTTATGAATTAGCCAATTTGAACCCTGCCTTATGCAGTGTTATCCTCATCATCTCTGACACACTAGAGCCCACTGCTGCAGTCATCGTGTCAATCAATCATGCTGGAGGGTTTTTCCCTCCTTCACCGACCCTCCACCTCTCCAAATATGATTTCCATTTCCATGGAATAACCTCGCCTAGCTAAATGCTAAAGTATGAAAGACTTTGCTTTCCAGGGAACACTCTGGCTGTACTTTTTCCAAGACATATTTGTTTGTTCTTTTGGCAGTCCATGGGATATTCATGTATTCTTCTCCTATACCAGAACTCAAAGGCATCAATTCTTCTTCTGTCAAACTTATTCACTGACCAGTTCTCTGATGCATAGCAAGTGATTGAGAAAATCAGAGGCATCTTAGCCTTCAAACTGACATAATTGCTCGTAAGCATTCTGGAGAGATCCCTGACAGATGACTTGTCCAATGCAAAAGATCTCCTGATTTCCTAGCTGCTGGTACTAAGGTTGCTGATTGTTTAGCCAAGCAATACGAAATCACCGACAGCTTTTATGCTTTCTCCATCTATCATAATGTTGACTCTTGGTCCGGTAGTGAGAACCTTTGTTTTCTTCATTCAGTAATCCATACTGAAGGCTATACTTGTATCTTCTGCACCAGGTGCCTCAAGTCCTCTTCACTTTCAGTAAGCAAAGTTCTATTACCTGTGCAACACAGGATGTTGATGACTGAGTCTTCCTCCAATTCTTTATTGTATTATTTTTACGTATACCATCAAATCAGATCTGACTGGTACAGGAGGAGATTGTCCCCTCCTTCTCCAGCAGAGCATCTGGTGGATTTGAACAGCGTACCTCTGGGATTGCAGTGCAGCAGTCTTCCTCCAATTCTGATGCCACATTTTATCTTCACAGAGTCTGGGTTCATGACACACACCCTTCCCTATTTTAAACAACGCAGCATTCCCTTGATGCTTTCAGACAACAGCTTCTTAGTCTAGAGATAGAATGCATATGAGCACAATTAAGTATTTCGGGGTTCCCATGACTTTTGCATAGTCTTGTGGAAGCCTCCAATATAAAAGAATAGCTTAAGACACCATGTTTTCTTTTAATATCCTACCAATATCATCCAAGTAATACCGACTCTGAATAACTTTCCGGCCAGCAGGTGTGGCATCCACTTCCTAAACAGTATGCCTCTAGAAACTCTACGAACTCTGATAAATGTTGAAAGCTGTAGAGGGGCTTCTGGCCTTTTTTTCACAGGGTCACTATGAGTCGTGCTCGACTCTAAGGCAATCAACAACAACAACATACGAATGAAGCTCTGGTGGCCTAGGGGTAAAAAGCTGCGAGGCTGATCCAAAGACAAGCGGTTTGAATCCACCTGCTGCTCTGCAAGATAAAGATCGGCAATCTCCTCAACGCGATTCAGTGACTGAAAATCCACTGAAGGGTCAACTATGAGTCAGCTCTCACTCGACAATACATAACAACAACATTAACAAAGACAGTATTAACATCAAGTCCTCTCCTTTCTTTCGATTCCCCTTCATGCAACTGTATGGCTCAGATGACAATCAAAAGTGATGACCTCGAGAATGTGAAGATAAACTGACATTCCTTAACTCCCAGGTCCTAAACCGGGGCCAAAACCCACCAAAAGATCCTTTCAACGATAATGCGAAGATGCGAAAACTTCCAGTCTAAGAAGCTTGTTCCGCAACCACTGCATTATGTACAAAACACAAATCATGAGCAAATGTCCCCCGTACCCACAACCAACAGAGTCGAATTTTCCCTGGATAACTTGTCACAGCTGCAGCGATAAAGAGAAAGGAGACCTGAAGCTGTTGCAGACTTACGGGGAGGATAATCAGGAAGGGTTCAAAGTCCCGGTGACCAACTCCGGTCGTCCCCAGTTCGAACTCTCCCAATGCTTTTCCTCAAACAGACACGCAAAGTCCCCAAACCATTACCTCCTCTCCAAGCTCCCCTCGCAAGGCAGTGCCAAGGCTCCAATGCCGCCGCAGCCCGGAGAAGCGGGGATGGGCTCTCCGTCCCGGCGCCAGGCCCGCGGAAGGGCGCGCGACTTCCGGAAACCGGTCTTCCGGTAGTGAGGGGCCTCCGGAAAGCCGGAGACACAGAACCCGCCTGCTCTTCGTCAGGGTCGGGAGATACTGGTTGTGAGAAAGGGGGCAAAATAAAATAAACACAGCCTCCAAATAATGGAGAGTCGGAAACGTCGGCTACCCGGCCATGGGTATTGTCGACTAAAAATGAAGACAAAAGTCAGGAGACAGCCCTATTCCTCTGTTGAACCAGGCAGCTTCCGTCTGCGGAATTATACGTCAGAGCTCAGGCACCGCCCCCCTTGAGACTGGAGGGCGTGAATAGTTGCGCGTCTTCTCTGTGAAAGCCTCTGTGCTGCTGTCATTTCATTCCCTATTGAAAATGAAACTAAGAGAGTTCCCTTCCCCTTATAACATCATTTCTTGTAATAAACCGTTACTGCTGGTTTTGTATGCTGTTGAGGAGAAATCGACTCATAACTGACTCTCCGGCAGGTTTTCAGAGGCAGTAAAACCACAGAGAGATTGCCCATCCTTGTGTCGCAGAGAAGCTGATGGATTTGAACCGATTATCTTTGGGATTGCTGCGCAATTTCTTAGCACTAGGTCATTAGAGCTCACCAATTTAGGTGCGCAAAATGTATTCATCGCAACTACAGGCAGCCATTCATTGGGGCTCCGCTCCACAAAGCTGGTGGTGAATGAGCGCGACCAGGGGCTATTCCATTTCCGTTGTCTGGGATACCTCTCCTGCCTTCGCTTGCTGTTGTATGGCAAATATACGATTGTGTTTTCAAAGGCTCAAGCAAAACTTGTTCACGGACATACTTCTAACCATCCTTTTCGTTCTTTAAAGTCTTCTCCTGTGTGATTTAACTGCCTCTGCAAACCCACTGAAAGGTCAGCTTTGGAGCGTTAGTGGTAGGGAGCTGTGCTGTCAACCCGAGGAAAGCGGTTTGAATGCACCAGCTACCCGGAGGGAGAAAGATGGGGATTCCTTGTATTTGTTGAGTACCATCGATTTGGCACGGACTCATAGCTGTAGGTTTTCCGATTCGAACCGCATACCTTCGTATTGACAGTGCAATACTTTACCACTAAGCCATCAGTCCCACGGGATACCTTTTTCTGGCCCCAACTGAGACTCTTGGTGGAGAGGTAGCATGGGGACCTGGATCCACAATCTGGGTACCAGCAGTCAGAAGATAAGGAGACTTAATTGTTTGAACAAGTCCGCTGTCAGGGATCTCACCAAAATATAGCGATGTTAGTTTGAAGACAAAGGTGCGCGCCTGATTCAGGCCATGGTATTTTCAGTTGTTTGCTATGCATCTGAGAGCTGGACAGTGAATAAGGATGACAGAATAATAATTGTTGCCTTTGAGTTATGGCATTTGAGAAGAGTATTGAATATTCCAAAACTGCCAAAAGAACAAACAGGTATATCTTGGAAAAGGTGCAGCCAGAGTGCTCCTTGGACCAAGTATGACAAAGCTTCATCTCATACTTTGGACATGTTGCTGGGAGAAGTTATTCCTTGCAAAAGCATATAATATTTTTGGGTGAAGGGTGAAGGTTCAGCTAATGAGAGGAAGATACCCCCCCCCAATGAAGATGGATTGATGCAATGACTGCTGCAATGGGCTCAAGGGTATCAGAGACAGTGAGTGAGAATGGCACAGGATAGGACTGGATTCCTTTGTTCATAGGGTTACTATGTGTTGTCCTCTACTTGACAGCACCTAACAAGAATAACAAGTCATCAGTCATCTTATCTGGATCAACAATCAACAACCTTCATACCAAAAGTCAGGAAAGCACGAAACGGAAGCACTGGGCAAATCAGCTGTCAGGCATCTCTCAAAAACACTGAACAGCAATGAAGTCGGTATGAAAACTAAGGTGCACTGATTCAGGCCATGTTCTTTTCAGTCATTTGCTACTGAGAGCTGGACAATGCATAAAGATGACAGTAGAATAATTGTTGCCTTTGAGTTATAGTTTTGGAGAAGAGTACTGGATAGCCCATAAACTGCAAAAAGAACAAACATATGTCTTTGGAAAAGTGCAGCCAGAGGTCTCCTTGGAGGCAAAAATGGCAAAACTTTGTGTCCCATATTTTGAGCATATTGCTAGGAGAGCCTGTTCGTTGGAAAGGGACATCCTGCTTAGAAAGGTTGAGGGTCAACATGTGAAAGAAAGACCCCCTCCCCAAAAAGATGGGTTGACACAGTGACTGCAGCAATGGTCTCAAGTGTATTAGAGATGATGAGGATGGCACAAGATAGTACAAGGGTCAGGTCTTTTGTTCTAGGGTCACTATGAGTCATACACGACTTTGTGGCACCTAACAACAAGCCACCAGAGCCCCCCTTATGATTTAGTGACTCTGAAAACCTACTGGAGGTTCACCAATGGGCCAGTTCCAACTTGATGGTACTTAACAACAGCCAGCATTGATGATGTATATATTACTCTGATGAAAATTGTTGTAATGGTTAGTTAAACATCATGAAATTAAAATCAATTCCTATCCCCTTGACGTAAAATAAATAAAGCATTAAGAAATGTAAGCTTTTAATTTCAAAACAGCATTTATTTTGTTTTTTTGACAAAACCAAGGGATAATAAAACCTTATAACAAAATTCTTGATAGAACTTAAAAAGAAGCTGGCATAATTACCCAACTATACTGGAATCAATGAAATACAAGCAAAAAATGATTAAAAATCAAGAGAATGAAACATTTTTTATAACATGCCAGACTATTTTTGAGACAGCAGCAAGAGCTTCTGTGCACGTTGGTTTGATGTACCGTTCAGGCAGCAAGAATCCATATCTGCCTCTATCTCGAAGTTCAATTGTAAATGAGTATTTGATTCCCAAATCATAAATCCAGTCATCTGAACCTCCAGGAGCTAGGTCTAAAGAAAGAAATATTTTTTCTAAAAAGCAAATATTTCAAATTTGCTATCATAATTGTAATTTTATCTTCCCCCCCTTTCCCACCAAAAAAGAAATTTTACTTTTCTCTGATTTTTATGTAACCTACAAGGAGACAATATCGCATTGGAAAAGTCTTCTGGTCAGGGCCTTTCCAAAGTTTTGAAGAGCTATGATGTCAGTTTAAAGACTAAGGTGCACCTGATTCAAGTCATAGTCTTTTCAGTCATCTCCTATGCATCTGAGAACTGGACAGCGAATAATGATAAGAGAAGAATTAATGCCTTTGAGTTGTGTGTTGGAGAAAAGTCCTGAATGTCTCATGGACTGCCAAACAGATGTCTTGGAGAAAGTACAAGCAGATGGACCATTGGAGGTAAAGAAGGCAAAGCTCCATCTCACATACTTTGGGTATGTTGCTAGGAGAGGTTGTTCCTGGAAGGTTGGCAAATGAAAGTAAGACGCTCAAGAAGATGGATTGATATGTTGTCTGTGGCAATGGTCTCAAGTGTGTTGGGGATAATAAGGCCAGCACAGTATTTGGCAGGGTTCAGATTTGGTCACAGGGTTACTATGCATCAGACTCAACTCAGCAGCACTTAACAACAAAAGGGAGTCTAAACAAGATAGATTGACACAATGACTTTTAATTTTGGGCCTGGGCATATCAGAGATGACAAGGATGGCACAGGATAGTGCAGTGTTCACATCAGTTATTCATAGGCTTGCTATGCCTTGCTAACCAAAAGTTCTGAATTCACCAACAGAATGGAATCCATGAAAATGGGTTTTTAACAACCAGATGTAGAAAATGGAGATTGAATGGGTAAAGCTTCAGGAAGAAAGCAAAACTCACTCATAACTCTACCAAACCAAACACTTCGTGGTGGGGTCAATTCAAACTCTATACCTATATACAGGGGACAAATGTCTAATAGGGTTTCCAACAAGGCTGAACTCGTTACTGGAGCACACTGCCATGTCTTTCCCCCACAGAACCATTAATGGGTACCAATCACCAATCTTTCAGTTAGCAACCTAGTGCCTAATCACTGTGCCTCCAGGGCTCATTAAAACCCTGCCAAGGAGTGATTAAGAAGAAGGGAAAAGTGCATGGTTCATTGGAGTTAATTTCATGCAGGGTGGGCCCTTGTGTTACACAGTGGAATTCCTTCCTGGTGGCTTTGATGTTGTTTTGGTTCTGGCTGTCTGTAATCTTGAAAAGAAGCAAATCCCAGTGCTTTCTTCCACTGCCCTGTTGGTTGAATTCCATTTCTGTCAATCGCTAACTGTAAACTGTTGGGGTCTCTGAGGGACCTGTTGTTGTTGTTGTTGTTAGGTGCTGTTGAGTCGAGTATGACCCGTAGTAACCCTATGAATAACAGATCTGAATCTCGTCCTATTCTGTGCTATCCTAACACTTCCTAAAACATTAGAGCCCATTGCAGCAGTCATCATGTTAATACACTTGTTAAAGGGTCTTCCTCTCCTTCACCAACCCTCTACCTTTCTGAGCATCATGTCACTCTCCAAGGAATATTACTCCTAGCAACAAGCTTAAAGTATATGAGGCGAAGCCTCATCATCCTTGCCTCCAAAAAGCACTCCGGTTACATCCTTTTGAAGACGTTATTTGTTTGTTCTTTTGGCTACCCATGGGATGTACAGCGCTCTTCTCCAACACCACAGCTGAATTCTTCTTCTGTCATCCTTCTTTATTGTCCAGCTCTTGGATGCATAGCAAGTGATCAGAAAGACCATGGCCAGAATCACATGCACCTTAGTCCTCAAACTGACATCATTACTCCTCAAAAATTTGGAGAGGTCCCAACAGTAGACTTTTCCAGTGGATTATGTCTCCTGATTTCCTGACTGCTGCTACCAAGGGTGTTAATTATGGATCCAGTTAAAATGAAGCTGTTGACAGTTTAAACAACATAGTTTAAACATCCTCTAAGGACTGATAATCAGATCAAAGTTTTATGTGTCTATTTTAACACACTATGCTCACAGTCATATACTGACTCATTCCACCTCAAACGCACAGAAATCCAACCTTGGAACAGCACTTGAAGTTTACCATTTCATTTCCACACCCTAAAACCATGTGTTATTTTGTTAGGTACACGTGTTAGATTAGCAAATAGCCAGTGGACTTTGAACAACTATATTTTATCTTTCTGACTTAAAAGCTTATCATTTTCCACCTAATCCAAGAAACTTGTAAATCTTGTAATATTTCACAAGAAACATATTCTGAACTTGGCTTGAATTCAACCTACAATATGTGTAAAGCTGTTTAAGAAATGCATCGGCAAAGAGTTTAATGCATAGCTTGAAATGATTATTCCAAGACTAAATTAGCAATGCTAATTTTTGCACTGCTAGTTACATATGGTTACATTAATATTCTCTTTACAGAAATCCAGTTAAAATCATTATTTAATGAAAGGATTTAACATTGCATACTATTGAGTATCTTTTACTGCAGATTATTTTGTAGAAATATAGAAAGCATGTAAGTAACCATGTAAATTATCTTGTTACATTCTCACTAAGCCGAGGGATCTTATTATTGTTTCTTGTGGCCTCGGTGGTAGAAAGTTGCACTGTAAAGAGTCAGCTATGGTTCAGTCTCAACTTGATGGTACAACATACAGTATACATAATATTGTTATTGTTGCATGCTACAGGCTATGCCACCTTAACTGGTATTTTCCAAACCCACTTCTCTTCAGACTCATTCTAGTAAAGCCAAGAATAGTTGTATTTTTTCTTTATTTTTTTACTTTTATATTGGTTTGCTCACAAAGTTTGTATATATTGTGTTTCACACTATTCCTCATTCCTATCATGTTTTATACAATTATTCCTATACATTATTATGGTTTTAATTATACACTACTTCCAAAAATAGTTCTATGTTGACCACTTCTTTTTTGTATAGTTACTCTGTATTCCTTCCATCTGATTTTTCTCTCTCCAATTTTTTTCATTAGCTTATATATAATTATTCCTATACATTGTTTTATACTATCTTTCACATACATTGTTATTTTATGTAATTAATTACTATTGATCTATGCCTATTATTACTCCATCTGCTTTTGATGCTTCCTTCATTATTTAAGACTTTGTCCATAGAATCCTTAACATTATAACTCAATGCATGAATTTTTTTTTCCTTCAGTTTTTTTTGAGCTTGAGAAAAACTAAGGGTATTCTTAACATTTGCTGTTTTAACTACAGGCACTTGCACATTTTGTTATAATCTTTTGTCTTCTCCAGCTTCTATTCAACTTTCTGACTTCATAATTTTTCCTTTCACTTAGCTTTAGCTAGATTATATTTTGTATGTTATTGTTATGTGCCATCAAGTCAAGAACAACTCATAATGACTCGATGAACAACAGATCTGAACCCTCTCCTATTCTGTGCCATTCTCTTCAACTCTAATATGATCTAACTCATTGCTACCATCACTGTGTCATTCTATCTCATCGAGGATTTTCCTGTTTCTATCTAACATGATGTTGCTTATTGGCCCAGTAGTGAAGATATTTGTGTTCTTAATATTGAGATATAATCCATGTTGAAGGTTGTAGTCTTTGATCTTCTGCAGCAAAACTTTCAGGTCCTCATCCATTTCAGCGAGAGAGATTGTGTCATCTACATAATGCAAGGTCTTTCTCCTACCCTAATGCCACATTTTTTCTTTAGAGACTCTAGCCTCTCAAATGATTTGCTCAGCATACAGACTGAACAGATATGGAGAAAAGATAGATTTCTGACATTCTTTTTTAAATTTCTGAACCATGCAGTGTCCTCTTGTGCTCTATTGTTGCTGTTATTAATGCTATTGTGTGCCATCAAGTCAAAACTGATCCATAGCTGGCCCTCCAGTGGGTTTTCAGGGGCAGTTAATCTCATGGGAGGAGATTTCCCATCCTCCTTCTGAAGAGCAGCTGGTGGTTTGGAATCTTATGCCTTTGGAATTGCAGTAGCAGCTTCTTACCATGAGGCAATCAGAGCTCTGTTGCTTTATAATGTTGTAGTTGGTAGGTGCTGTTGAGTGGAGTACAGCCCCTAAGTGCTATGACTCAGAGCAACCCTATAAACAGTTGTCTTGATCCCTGCCCAATGCTGTACCATCCTCATCACATCTGACACACTAGAGTCAACTGCTGAAGTCACTGTGTCAATCCATCTCATTGGGGATCTTCCTCTCCCTCTCTGACCTTCCTGTTTCCAAGCATGATGTCCCTTTTCAAGGAATAGCCTCATGCCAGAGTGTGAAAGACAAAGTTTTGCCATCTTTGCCAGCAAGACACACTCAGGCTGCATTTTTTCCAAGATATATCTGTTTGGTTTTTCAGCAGTCCAGCACCACAATTCAAAAACACCCATTATTCTTCTGTCATCCCTATTCATTGTCCAGCTCTCCAATGCGTTTTGTTCTTGGTGAGTTCGGTAGAGCTGACCCTCTGATGGGTTTTCAGAGGGAGTTAATCACACGAGAGGAGATTGCCCATTCTTTACCTGTGAAGCAGCTGGTGGTCTCTTCGGGATCGCAGCACCGCTTCTTGCCACTAGGCCACCAGAGTCCCTATGCTCCGATGCATAGCAGGTGATTTAGAAGATCATGGCCTGAATCAGGGATACCTTGGTCTTCAAGCTGATATCATTGTTCCACAATAATTTTAATTTGTAGAGGTCGAAATTGGGACTTTCCTCAAGGCAATATGACTTATTTTCTTGATTATTGGTATCAAGGTTGTTGATTGTGGACAAAAGCAAGATGAAATGACAACTTCAAACTTCTCTCCATCTACCATGATGTTGCCTATTGATTCAGTGGTGAGAATTTTTGAAGAGAGTCAGCTATGTGTTAAGGAGTTGTGCTGCCAACCCTAAGGCACTTCATTCAAATACACTAGCTGTTTCATGGAAGAAAAATGGATTCTCTGCTTCTGTGTGATTTATACTGCCTCTGAAAATCCACTGGAGGGGCAGCTATGGGTCAGTTCTGACTCCACGGTACCTAACAACAAATAATAACATTATATGAAATTAGATGGGGCTTGGTCTGCCAGTCATAGTTTGTTAACTCCAGATTAACTGGTTATTTTCCGTTTCTCTATTTTCTTTTCCTTCTTGAGCTCCCCAAAGGCAGAATCTTGGTCTGCCAACCTGCTGTGGGTCCATAGTTGTTAGTTGCTGCTGAGTCAATTTTGATTCATAGTGACACCACGTGTGCGGAGCAGAACTACTCCCTAGAGTTCTTAAAGTCGGGATATTCGGAAAGCATGTTACCGGATCTGTCTTCCAGTATGCACCTGCGTGCATGTTAATGGCTAATCTTATTTCTTGTAGTGGAGTGCTTAACTATTTGTATCACCTAGGGACTCTTCTAAGAAATATCTCCCACCAGAAAGTAGTTTAAAATATTTGTTGAGTTTTTCACATGCCTAATCCTTGTTAATGTGACACACAGAGCAAATAGTAAAATAGAGTCCCCTAGACACAGGCTTTCACTAAAAAGCATCTCATGTAAATAGAACACCCTAGATTTGCTTGCAGGAACTTTCACGGTAGACTTGGACGTCTCACACATTAGATAGATAGTTAGATAGATAGATAGATAGATAGATAGACAGATAGATAGATAATAGATAGATAGATAGATTTTATTTATACTAGTTTACTTACAAAGTTCATATACAATGATTTTCACACTAGATCTTTCCCATTCATGTAAAGAAAGTTTTGGGGTATATGTTCGTTTGTGTTTGGTTTGTGTTATTGGTCTTTCCCTCCACAAGCGGATCTCAGCTGGCTGGACTTTGGCTTGCCCATTTTAGCCAACAAGGAACCAACAGTGGAGGAAATTCTTGATTTATCATAGTCAACAGCATTCGTTGAGTGTGTCTTTGAAATTCTGAAGGGCCTGAGGGCCACTTAACATCAACATTCTATGAGTGGTACAGCAGCTTGTCTATTTGCTATACTGAATAAGTTAGAGTTGCTCTGATGCTGATCACTGTGCCATTGTTGTTGTTGTTATGTGCCATCGAGTGCCTGTGACTCATAGCGACCCTATGTACAACAGCCCTAAACTCTGCTCTGTCCTGTGCCAATCGCACTGTCTCTGACACTCCCATCCTAATTATCCCAGTCACTGAATCAATCCACCTCATAGAGGGCCTTCCTCTCCTGCACTGTCACTCCACCCTCCCAAGCATGATGTCCCTCTCTAAGGACTGGTCTCTCCTCACAACATGTCCAAAGTATGTTAGACGGAGCCTCAGAATCCTTGCCTCCAAGGACCACCCGATTTAACCCTTTCCAGGACAAATCTGTTTGTTTTCCTAGCAGTCCATGGTATTCTCAATACTCTTCTCCAGCACCACAGCTCAAAGGCATCAATTCTCCTTCAAATACCATAATGTTTACCCACCATGGATAGTGTTTGGAGGTGCTTCCATATTGATTCAGTTTTGGAAGTAGGAGTCACATCCACTTCCTAAACCAGATGCCTCTGCAAACTCCATAAACTCTATAAATATACCACTAAGTGAGAAAAGTGTTGTTACATTTTAGAGGAACATTCTTCTACTTTGTACATCACTCTTTGCCAATTTGTACTGAGGTAATCTGAGTTTGCTGTGACGCTGAATCTTGTGCCATTGGGGTGTGAAATGTCATAATGGTTTCACAATGTGGACAGTGTTTGGATGAGCTCCCCATTGTGAAACAGATTTGGAAGCAGGAGTGGAATCCACTTCCTAAACCACATGCCTATGAAAACTCTATGAACTTGGAGAAACGATGATAGCTATAGAAAGGCATTAGGTCTTTTGTTCATGGAATTGCTATGAGTTGTGCTCAACTCAATGGCAGTCAACAACAACAACACTCATCAAATTGTGCAATCCTGTGATTACCACCCCCCCCACTACTTTGTTCCCTGCTCACCCTCCAATACATTCTCATACACATTTTACTAGTTATCTATTTCTACAATAGTGTTCTTATACGGTATTATTCCTTAGTTAGTTCACTCAGTGTAATGGTCTCCTGTCGCTCCCAAGCTGGTTAGTAATTTACAAAATCATTGCTCCTGTGTGCTGTGTAGTATTCCATCATCACACATTCCTTTGACTCTTTGTGCCTCTTCTCCTTCAATCAGCATGAATGATAGTAATTTCTTGATCGCTGTTCTTGGTTGTTTTTGTTGTTATATGTCATCAAGTTGGAAATGACTCATAGCTGACCCTCCATCAGGTTTTTAGAGGTTTTAAAATGTATTAGAGGAGATTGCTTATCTCACACCTTCAAATCAGTGGGTGAATTTGAACCACACACTTTGGGCACATGGCCAGAAGGGACTAGTCCTTGAAGAAGGACATCATGCTCGGAAGAGAGAAGGGACAGTGCAAGAAAGGAAGATTCCGGATGAGATAGATTGATACAGTAAGTGGCGCAATGGGATTAGGTGTGTCAGAGTCAGTGAGACTGGCCTAGGATAGAGCAGGGTTCAGTGCTATTGTACATAGGGTCACTGTGAGTTGCAGGCAATTTGATGGCACATAACAACAACAGCAACCTTTGAGTTAGCAGCACAACTCCTTATGTAGTAGCCCACAAGAGTTCCCCCTACTCTACAGAAGAAAGCAATTGCTTAAATATAATTGTAACTTTTTTTGTAAGTTCATTTACTAATATAGATGTGTTCAGAATTCCCCTAAGCTATTATACTTCTGTTTCAAATTATTAACAACCAGTCATTTTATATGTGACCCTGCTGAAAAGTCAATTTAGAAAACTTAAATGTATACAGAGAAGCTGATCATGTAGATTTCATTAGTACCTCACAGTTCTCCAAGATCTTAAGAAACAGTACTTACATAAAGTTTCTGCACCACGGCCAAAAGTGTACTTTGTGTTTTTGTTAGTATTCTCAATAGCACGAACAGCTTCACTGGCCACTAGAGACTGGAAGCAACAGGACATGACATTTCTTTTAGTATATAGCTATGAAACAGGGAAGAAGACATTTCTACAATAAATTATATATTAACTGACTCAAACAATCTCTAGGTACTAATTGAATCAAACAATCTACAGAAAAATCTATGTTTAGTCAAGTGGTAAATTAACAAAATTAACCAAAAACAACTCATCTTGCTTCATAGATCATCATGGGGTGGCTTTAAATACAAATTCCTTCAATGTATTAAATATTTAATCTGTAAGGGAAAAAAGCTCATGTTTTTGTTATGACAATCAAAGTATAGCTATACTTCAAAAGTGAACAATTAAGAGATGTTTTGATCCTAAACATTATTGTTATGTGCTGTGGAATCAGAATTGACCCTCACAGCTCACCGTTCACTGGATTTTTAGAGATTGTAAATTACACAGGAAGAGATTGTCCATATTTTTCCTGCAGAGCTGCTGGTGGATTTGAACCATGTGCCTTTGGGTTGGTAGCAACACTTGCTCTCCACTAGGCCACAAAAGCTCCAGAAAACATACAGTTTGAAATATCTGATGGAAGATAACTAATGGTAGATGAAAGTAAAATTGCTTTAGGGTGACTTGGCATTGACTCTCACTCGGGTGGCTGTTGTCGTTGTCAGCTGCTTTCCAGCTGACTACTCATATTAGCCTTAGGAACATTTGGAACTCTCATCCTAATCTGCAGCATCCTTACAATTTCCCCCACGCTCAAGCCCCTCGTTGTAGTCAGTGTGTCAGTCAATCGCCTTGACAGTCTTCCGTTTGCTGACCCTCTACTTTTCTAAACAGGATTTCTTTTTTCAAGGACGTTTCCCTCATGACAACAGGGCCAAAGTGTGTGAGAAGATGTTTCACCCTCCTTGCCTCTAGGTAACACCTGACTGCACATTCTCCAAGACAGATTCGCTTTTCTGTTTCGGCAGTCCATTCAATAGTTTTCGCCAACACTACAATTCAGAGGCTTCACTTTGGTCTTCTTTACTCGTCATTCACCTTTCACATATGCCAGAGAAGAAATTTAAAATACTATGGCTTGGGTAAAGCACATCGTAGTCTTTAAACTGACATCTTGGCCCTTCAGCACTTTATAGCGGTGAGTCAGGTGCTAAAGTTGAACGAGCTGATGGCTATGAACCACTAGTTACAGAATCTGTTTAAAATTCAGACTTTTAATAATGACAAATGAAAAGAAATTTGTGAAATAAAAGAGCTTCATGAAAAAAGATTTTTCCAATGTAACGTAATTTATTTCTTGATTGGTACTGTTAAGGATGTTGGTTGTACATACAAGTGACACAAAATAAGTGACATGAAATAATTGACAATTTCAACTTTTTCTCCATCTGTCAAGATGTTGTCTATTGATCCAGAGGTAAGAATTTAGAGCTGAGTATCCCAGGTACTGCCAAAGGAATAAACATATGTCTTAGAGAAGGTGCACCTAGAGGGTTCCTTGGAGGCAAAGATGATGAAACTCTGTCTCACATACTTTGGGCATGTTGTTAGAAGAAATTATTACTTGGAGAGGAATATCATGCTTGGATGGGTGGAGGGATAGAAAAGAAAAGGAATATCCTCAACCAGATAACTTGACACAGTGACTGCAGCAATGGGTTTGAGTGTGTCAGAGACTATGAGGCTGTCACAGGAGAGGACCGGGTTCATATCTGTTGTTCATAGGATTGTTATGAGTTGTTCTCGATTTGATGGCGTCTAACAACAACAACCTAAACTAAAGGCTGTAGTCTATGATCTTCTGCAATATGGTACTTTGAGTCTTCTGTCTTTGAGAAAATTTGTTTCATATGCATAACATAAATTGTTGATGAGCCTTCCTTCAATCCCAATGCCACATTCTTGTTCATGTAGTCCAGATTCTCAAATGATTTGCTCAGCTAACATATCAGCTCTGTATAGAGAAAAACTATAACCCTGATGTACACCTTTCCTAACGTTAAACCATGTAATATATACCTTTGTTCTGTTTGAAAAAGTGCTTCTTGGTCTATGTACAGGTTTTACATGAACACAATTAGTGTTCTGGACTTCTCATTCTTCTCAATGTTAACCACATTTTATTACAATCCAGATTTGAATGCCTTTGCCTAAGCAACAAAACACAAGTAACTATCTTTCTGGTATTTTATTCTTTCAGCCAAGATCCATTTAACATTAGCAATGATATAGTCCTCATTCCACAGCTTTTTCTAAATGCACCTTAAAATTTAAGCAGGTTTTAGAAGAGCCCTTACTCACAGCAATCTTACAAAATAGAAGAGACATTTCTCAGAGCAACTCTATATGTTAGAGTAAAATTGTGTAGAGTTGCAGTAGAGTATTTTAGGCTGTAATCTTTGAGGGAGGACTTGAAGTGTTTACTGCAGAAGATCAAGGTCTTCAATATGGAATCTCTCCACGCTTCAATGATTTAGATCCTCCCAGAAGAGCTGTGGGTGAGCATTAACATTACTGGTAAGCATATCCATTTTCTCCTGGACACAAGAGCCTACTATTTGGTCCTAAAAGCCTTCTGAGGTCCCAACTCTTCTCACAATTTCTTAGTTGTTGGAATTGATGAAAAACCTCATAAGCAGTTCCTTACTTCACCTCTGACTTGCATGCGGACTTCCAAGTTGTAAAACAACCCAGTGATAGATGGAATTTGCTCCAGGACTTAAGAACAATAAATGACATAGTTGAACCTCTACATCTTGCGGTTCTTAACCTTTGTACTATAATAGACATAGTGCTAGTCAATAGGCCTTTTATTATAAGAACTACCTTCCCTCTGTAACTTGATTTGTGCCACTATTAGAGCCTCTACTTGGAATATTATTGCTTTTTAATTTTTGACTCATGTACTTTTAACTTGTTAGTTAAATTTGTGTCTTCTAGGCTGCAACACTTCCATGATACATCTTCAAGGATATGAACATGTATGGCTAAGAACAATTGATAACAGTGCATCTAAATTCCAAAATCAATCTCCATAATAGTCTATGTGTTTCCTATTGCCAAAGGGGCCCTTTAGAGTAGTGAGAGAAGCTCTTCACCCTGAAACCTACAGTGTCCCTTTTCAGCAGGAAGCAGCTAAGAGAATATGCCGTCCCCTTTTCCTTATGAATCAGGGTGAAGTCTCTCTCAGGGAGGAGTGATAGGGAATGGCAAAGGACACACTAACAAAGAAGATTAATCAGAACTGGCTTTGACAAGCACTGTGGCAATTGGACAATAAAAACAGACTTACAAGGTGGGGGGAAAGAATAACGAACTGGGGAGGAGGGTAGAGAAAATAGTGCAACAATGAATGGATGAAAACCCCAAATCTCTGTAAATGTTCATTAAAATTAATAATAATAAAAAAATAAAAAGAAGACCACAAAAAAAAATAAAAGAAGAATCTCTCCACTGGGCCAACTGGGAATATCATGACAAATGGAGAAAAGACAGAGCTTGTTAACAACGTCATCTTGTTCGATCCACAATCCACTCTCTTGACTCCAGCAGTCAGGAAATCAAAAGACTAATTGCTTTGGGAAAGTCTGCTGTCAGAGACCTCTCCAGAATGCTAACAAATAATGAAGTAGTTTAGAAGCTAAAGTGCGCCTGATCCAGGCCATGGTCTTTTCAATTGCTTGCTGTACATATGAGAGCTGGACAGTGACTAAGTATGACAAAATAATCAATGCCTTTGAGTTGTGCTGGAGAAGAGTACTGAATTGCCAAGAGAAAAGCAAGTCTTCTCCTGGAGAGGGTAGAACCAGGTCTTCATTGTAGGCAAGGATTATGAAACTCAGATGAGATGCATTGACCTAGTGACTGTGGCAGAGACTGTGAGATGGGCTCAGGATAGGGCAGAGTTCAGAGCTACTGTTCATAGGGTCACTGTGAGTTGTAGTCAACGCAATGGCACATAACAACAATCTTTATGGGTAGTCTCAGTGGTGATATAGTTAAAGAACTTAACTGCTAACGAAAAGATCATAATTAGTCCTCACCGGAAACTCTTCAACAGAAAGATGGGGTAATCAGCCTGAAGAAATAAAATACAAGCTGCATTGACAAATTGGTAGTAATAATTTGTCAGTCTTGCAGGTCAGACTTGACTGGAAGGCAGTGGTTTGAAGTTTGGTTCTGTTGCTTCTCCATTAGTTTTGGTTTTTTGTTTTGTTTTGCTTTGTTTTGGTTTTTTCAGAATTCACTTTAGAATTGCAATTATGATTTCTTTCTCTGTGTCTTTGAAAAGAAAGTACAACAAGGATATTTTCTTAAGGACCTGGGAATTTTGTCTTTGAAATATTATAATCTAGGAAGGTCATACCTCCACCTCTCAGTTTCTTAGAAGAATATAAGCACAATTTTAGCTAAGGAAACTTACAAAGACAGCCATTTTTTTAGTCTTGAAAATACGAATGTGATTACATCATTTTTTATAGAGTCAGATTTCATTCTCTGTCTTGCAAACTATTTTATGAATTGCCTATACTGCATAATATTTTAGTTTAATGCTTAGTCAATAATAAAAACTTTTCTTTCTCTTCTGTTTTCATGGAGGAGTTTCCTGGGTTGGGGGTGCACTGGTGGCATAGTAGGTTAAATGTTGGAATGCTAACTGGAGGTCAGTGGTTCAGATCCACCCCTATTCTGAAGGAGAGAGATTAGACAGTGTCCTCCCATTGTGAAATCCCTGTGGATTATCGTCATGGATTGGAAGCACTAACTCAATGGTCGTAGGTTTGGTTCCAAGGTTGAGAGTAGATTTTGTTTTAGGTAACTTTCCCCCAACAAATGCCAATAGGAAAAAAGAGTTAATCAGCACTCACCAGCTCCATGTCATCTTTGCTTTTGTTTCTACTGTAGGAATATGGATACAGTATCTGTTGGGAGTATGAATGCATACTTATATAAGATTTAATGTGCTTGACATTTTTTCTCAAGAAATCAGCCACTGCCCTCACTTCTGGTTCTGACTCAGGATAAGGTCCACAGTAGGTTTCCGCACAAGAAAAACTTGACGCACCTTCCCCTGTGGTGAGAAGGATCAATGGCAGCATGAGGTGATGCATACACTATTGAAATTCATTATTTCCTTGACAGTGTAGTCTCCTAAAGGCCACTGTGCAACATTCTTAGATAAACAGATTAGATAAAGATCTCTGTAGGACATATACCTGCTCTCCACTATGCTTTGTTTTTGCTTCTTTGGAAAGGAAAATTTTATATGCCCACAAAACAAACACTCCAGACATCTACCTCAAGATTTTCTTTGCTGCCTGGAGGCAGCCATCTTGGACCTTGAGACAAGTGGTCAAGAGAATATCAGAGATACTGTGAGCCTTGTCTTTAAACTTCTGGCTATTGAAGGAGAACCCCAAATTTTCTTGAAATTACTATAAATTTGACTTTCTTATATTTATAGTTTAAAAATCGTTAACTACTAAGACACACCTGAAGTCACCACCTGGGGTCATTTTTTTATTTGAAATAAATTAAAAGACAGTTTTTCTGTCTTGTTTTCCTTTCAGTGGTACCTTTACTTTGCTAAGTGGAAAATCAAATGTGACGGTGATATTCGGTGCCCTGCAATATCCTATTCATCATCAATTCAGATGGCAGTCTGCCTTCCAACGTTCTCCTTTCTGTCTTTAGTTAAAGGTGATGGGGCACCAGGAAGCTACCCAACAGATAATTCCCTCCTGGAAAAATGGATTAGCCCAGAGTCAGATTTTTTTAATTCATATTCTGCCAATTGGAAGCCTTCCTCTGATAATTTAAAATAGAAGCAAAGATGCTGATGCCAGTCTCAGTGCTCTCTTGACTGGAGGCAATTGGGGACAGTAACATCAGCAGCTGACACTCATAGAGCTCATGTTAAATCAAATCAAATCCACAGCAGGAGAGCTGATCCTGACTCACAGCCTCAGAAACTTTAAGCAACTTACAGGCAATATCCCAATGGTTCCTCACAACCACTCCGTTACACAAGTACTGCTGATGAGGAGATGCAGTGTGAGCAGTGTGGATGATATTCAGCCTAAATAAGAAGTAAAATGCCTTCTTGTTAAACATCTAATCTCTTGATTTCAATCTTGGCTTTGCCATGAAGTAACTACACGGCTGTGAGCAAACATTTTAAACCTCGCTATCCCTCAGTTTCCTTACATGTAAAATGGAATCAGAGTGCATTGAAAGGAGATTGATGGTTAATGGAGATGATGTGTATAAAGAACCTGCTATCTAGTAACTGCTCAGTAACTTTATTTCTGTTTATTATATTATAAGCAGCCTGTTCACGGTGATAAAAACAGAGTTCATTATAGAGATGGAAGAGGGAGAAAAAGGATTCCTTGAACTCCCAACAGGGTCCAGGCCCAGTTATAGTTAATTACTGAGGCCAACTGCATCCTTAAACTTGAGCTTCTCCTCTAGTCTTAAAAAAATCTATCTTTCTTAAACTTGCTCTACTTTCTTCCTATTGTTTGCAATTGAAATCTAATGATTTTCTCAAGCGTTCTTTCCCCTCAAAGTAGCATGTATAACATCCAAAGCCCAAGTATTTTTTAACTACTTGTTTTGATGTTATATTTTCCTTTGCATACTTCTTCCTCTTTTCCTAGTGCATGCAAATTCTAGAGAGTAGATTATATTGAAAATGTTGTCGGTATGTACTTTCTCCCATGGGGCACTTAGTGGACCCAAACCATGTCTCTTTGGGTTCAGAGCAAAACTACTTACCACTAAGCCACGGGGGCTTGCTATGTACTGAGAATAGAGGTGGGGAAGGATATAGAAGAGATGAAATGAGAGGCGGTGCCTTCATATGAATTCTGAAATCAGACATGTTCAATAGAAATACAATGCAAGTCATATACATATTCAGAATTTTCATGGAGCCACTTCAAAAGAAGTAAAAAACTGGTGAAATTAATTTTAATAAGATAGCATGATTGCACACTTAAGTCTATCTATATAAATCACTTGCTATGAATAAGAGAGCTGGACAATGAATGACTTAAGTCTATCTATATAAATCACTTGCTATGAATAAGAGAGTTGGACAATGAATGACTAGGGATAATAGAAAGAGAATTGATGTTGCAAGGAGGATCCAGTCCTTGGAGAGGGACATTATGCTTCGGAGGGTGGAGGGACAGTGCAGGAGAGGAAGGTCCTAGATAAGACAGATTGATTCAGTGACTGAGGTAATGGGAGTAGGTCTGTCAGAGACAGCAAGATTGGCTCAGGATAGAGCAGGGTTTAGGGCTGTTGTGCATAGGGTCACTACGAGTCGCAGGCAACTCGACAGCACATAACAACAACAACATATAAATTACTATCATTTCAAATTTGATCAATATAAAACTATTCATTATTCAATTGTTCTTTATGTTATAAACTCAAGGTCGTAGCTATCTGACTCCAGCTTATAATGACACTTCATTAGTTTTCAAGGCTGTAAATCCTAATTACAGGGAACTGCTCATCTTTCTCTAGTGGTGCTGCTGGTAGATTTGAAGTGCCAGAGACCCTCAGCCTTTTAATTAGAAGTATGACACATTATTGACTAAGCCACCAGAACTTATGTTATAGAGATTAAAATTTGGACTGCATTTCACACGTAACAGTATATCTCAGTTCATACTAACCACATTTCAAGTGCTCAATACCACATGTGGCTAGTGGCCTCCCTACTGGCCAGTTCAGCTTCCAAGATTCGTTCTACGACTGTCATTGTAGAAATTTCAAACACTTGAGTATACGGAACCCATAAGGATTAGGAAACTTGAATATGAGATTCTGGTTTGCCATTAAAGCTGTTTGTTTGGACAGCACAACCCTCTGTGTTGGCCTGGACTCAATAGTAATGAGTGTTTTAGGAGTCATTTCTCTGGACCTCTTTATTTGTTATTTCTTTTCTGTACTTTGAGTACACTTAGTGGAAAGGAGTTGTACTGCTAACTGAGAAACACACAGTTTGAATCCAGCAGCTACTCCATCGGACAAAGATGGGCAATCAAACTCCCATGCAAGTTACTGAAAACCAGCCATGAGTCGGTTCTGACTGGATGGGACCTCACAATAACAATCTGTACTTTGAGTCGCTTGAGCTACCATTTCCTTTAAAAAGTATGCATCTTTAATCTCTAATCATGGGTTCACAAACACAACGGTCTCCTAGATTGCCCCAGAGTGATGCAAAATGTTAACATAGTCAACTGCTAGTCAGAAGGTGGGAGGATGGGTATGTTCAGAGGTACCTGGAAGAAAGGCCTGGTGATCTCTTGTTGATCTCTTGTTAAAACAATGGTATCTGAGGATTTCCTGGAGCATAGTTCTACTCTGACATACATGAGGTTACTACAATTCAGATGAAGAATTTGATGCTAATATAATTTCATAGGAAAAGATGGAAACGATTTTCCAATGCATGGTGGCTGCAGAAACTTAGCAACTTTTTAGAAAATGAGCAAAATTGTCTTAGCTTAAGAACCAGAGTTTGTCACAGTGTCCTCCGCTCCCCCAATATCTACTGTCATCCCTAACATGCTTATTAATCATCTTTTTAAATTTTTTTTATTTTGTGTGCGTGTACCGTCAAATCAGATCTGACTGGTACAGGAGGATATTGCGCCTCCTTCTCCGGCAGAGCGTCTGGTGGATTCAAACCGTGTTCCTCTGGGATTGCAGTGCAGCTTCTTGCCACTAGGCCACCAGAGCTCCCCCACGTATTAATCATCTTAACATAAAAGCAACGGGTAATTTAGACATGTCACTACCCACTAGAAAATAAGATGCCTTTTAGAGCCTTGACATAAAGTTATCATCAATGCACTTGTCTGGAAGAAGAAAAGTTAATAGTTAATTTTTTCTTCTCATTGTCTTGCTAACATAGTAGTGAAGAAATGCCAGGACAGTTGGGCAAAAGGGGTTCCTTGCAGTTACTCTTTTGCTTTATGCAAGACTCTTGCTTATGATTGCTATTTCTGTGTCTTTTTGTAAAACACCCATGAGATGTACTCATACACCACCATGCCAAAGAGGGAGCTGAAATGTTTTCCTTTTACCTGCTGACTCAAGTCTGTCTTGTTTACAGAAAAGAACTATCCTGTCAGGTTTTGGTGGCCATAAAACTCACATAAGACTGTCCGGCCTCTCTGTCAGTGAGTGTTTGAGCCACCAGACTAGGTTTGTGGCACTGTTAGGTGCCATCAAGTCAGCGCTGGCTTGTAGCAGGCCGTGTACAACAGAACGGAACACTCTCTGGTCTTTTGTCATCTTACAATCTCTGCTCTGCTTCCTGGCATTGTCTGGGGACCTCTTGATAGCAACAGAGTGAATATGATCAAGAAAATTGAGCACTCAAAAGCTTGAAGATAAAATTAGAAGTTTCAAAAGGGAACTTTCATTGAGGAACCACTGCCACTCTTCATCCATTTGCAGGCAGTGGATTTTGCACAGTGAGTCAGTGTTCATTCAGTGGCAAGAACCAACCTCTAGCAAAAGGGGCTTTCCTCCACCCCCAGGGTCTCTTGATTTCAGAGAGTTTTAACTAACAGGCTTTTCTCCAAGAACATCCACTTTTCAAAGCAGACAGCATACCACACCAGTGTTTAGAAGCAAAGTTCCTGTTCAGGTCAGTCCCAATGCATGCGTTGTCCTCGTGAGAAGATCGGTTCTTTCTCCACATTCGATCCTGAATAAACAAAATACAAATAGGTAACCAAGAAAACTGTATCAGTAATTCATGCTTTCTTTCCTTCAACCTTATCCCTTTCCTGTCTCCATTCTGGCACTTTCTTCATAGAGTCCCTTTCTCAGCCCTTATTTCTATCCAGGTCTCTATCATATATTTCCTTGAACTATCCTAACTTTAACATTGTAATTTTACTTGAGCCCTGTGATTCTGGAAAAATAATAGGGGTTAAAGAAACTATCCCACATTTTTGTGTGTTCCAATGCACGCTTGGTGGTGCACAGGTGAATTGCTTGGCTACTAACAGAAAGCTTAGTGGTTCCAAACTACCAGGCATTTGTGGGGGAAAGATATGGCACCTGCTTCCATAATGATCACAGCTTTGGGAACCCTGGGGGGAAGTTGGACTAAGTGTATGTCTGTGTGTGCTAGAAAATGCCTGACGTGGCTGGCCTTAATGTTCCCCTCAGTTTAAGGATTAGGTTGACTTCTTGCTGACTGTAGTCCCTTGACCTCTCTCTCACCTGAGTCTCACAGAATCCTGACAGAAAACGTGCCATTTACCCTCAACAGTGAACCCATGAGATAGACGTTGATCCATCTATCCTCAACAAAGAACCCACGTGATGTTATTGACACAGTTACAGCCTCCCGTCCTCCTAGCATCCTAGCATCCTTCAGCATCTTTCTACTCTAGCTCCCTTCAGTATTTAGAAAACAATGCTCTGTCTCCTTCTGTAGACTATTTGTACAGAGTAAGAGTTCAGACTTAGTGTCTGTGAATAAAGTCTACCGTTGACTGTTGAACACCCTTTGGGTAAAATTTTCCAAGGTTGCTTGATCCAAATAAGGTCACAACTAAGGTTAGATAATTTTTTTTAACCTATAAAAGTAACAATTTTATGTGATGCAACCAAGCTGCTTGTTATGCATTGAATCACGTTCCCCTAGAATACATGTTGTAAATCCTGACATCATTATGTACATCACAAACCCTGGTCCTACAGTGTTCAGTAGTCAGCTGATAAACAGCAAGTCAGGGGTTCAATACTACCAGCCACCCTATGGGACAGACTGCAGTCTCCTTCAGAAAGATCACAACCCTCCAAAGTCAGAATCTACTCGATCTGGAAGGATGCTTTGAGTCAGTATCTTAAGAGATCTAAATTAAACTCAACTCAATGTGGTAGAGTCAGAACCAACTCATAGCTGACTTTCCATTTCATTTCCAAGGTTGTAAATTACACCTAAAGAGATAGTCCCTCTTTTTCTTAAGAAATCACTGGTGGATTTGAACCACCAAAGAACATGACCTTAACAGCACAACTTCCCACAGACTATGTCATCAAAGCAACTTCCTAACAGAGAGAGAGAGAGAGAGAAGATTAAGACACAAACAATGAGAAAGAAGAGATAAGAGAAGAGGCCACACCACCTGAATATTGTCAAGGAATCCAGGTTTAGAAGGAGATAAAGACCATCTCCGAACTTCAACAAAAAATGTAAGACTTCTCTTGGGGTCAGCATCCAGATATCAGAAACTGAGGAGGACCTCATTCACTTGCTGCGAAGGGTCAAGGACTGCAGCCTTCAGTGTGGACTAAGGCTCAATGTCAAGAAGACAAAGATTCTCGCCACTGGAACAATTGACAGTGTCAGGATGGATGAGGAAGAGATTGAGAGTGTTCACAGCTTCGGTTTGCTCGGCTCCACAGTCAACACTCTTGGCACCAGCAGTCAGGAAATCAAAAAGCGTATCGCGATGGGAAAGTCTGCTGTTAGGGACCTCTCTAAGG